CCCCCCTCCACCCCACCTCGGTGCCCCCCCCGCTGCCCCCCACTCACCCCACAGCTGCTCCCCGTTTCCCTCTCTCCCTCTGCTGCCTCTCGGCCCTGCCCCGGGGGATTAACGGCATTAACACCCAACCCCCCAACTCCCCCCACATCCCCCCCCCCCCATAACACTGCGGGGGGGGGTCCCAGGGTGCAGCAGTGTGGGGAGGGGGGCACACAGGGGATCCCCGCTCCGCTGTCCCCACAGACGGCACAACGCTGGGAGGAGGAGGGGGGGTCCTTCTATCTGGGGGGAGAAATGGGGATTCGCCATGACCCCCCCTCCCCTTTTTTTCCCCCGACCCCACGTCACCCCCCATCAGGCCACGCCCCCTCCCCAGGCCACGCCCCCTTTCCCCAGACCACGCCCTCCTCGTGGCCCCGCCCCTTTTCCGTTCATCTGTTCCCAAGGACATCCCCGGTCATCCTCCCCCCCCCACCAGTGCTCCCAGTTAACCCCCACTTCTGCCCCAGTGCTTCCCAGTTCCTCCGGTGTTCCCAGTTCCACCCCAAGTTCCCACTCCCAGTTACCCCTCAGTAACCCCTCCAGTGCTCCCAGTTCCCCCCCAGTGCCTTCCAGTTACCCCCAGACACCTCCCAGTATCCCCAGTTCCCCCCCAGTGCTTTCCAGTTACCCCCAGACACCTCCCAGTATCCCCAGTTCCTCCCCAGCACCTCCCCGTTACCTTTCCCCAGTCCCACTCCAGTATCCCCCAGTAGCCCCCCCCCATCACCACTTTCCCAGCGCGGTCCCTTTAAGACCCCCCCCACTCTCCGAATCTCTCAATGGGGGGCGGTGGGAACGGCGGCAGGGCTCCCCGCCCCCCTTCATTAGCATAAGGGGGCGTGGCTACCGAGGCTATATAAGGCAGAGCGGCAGGAGCGGTGGGGAGTCGCGGGTTCGAGTCCCGGTGAGGGAGGGTCGGGATTAGGATTGGGATTATTTGGGATTATTTGGGATTATTTGGGAATATGGCGCGGGACAAGGAGAAGCGGAGCTGCGGGCAGGTGTTGGCCGAATGGAGGGCGTTCGTCTGGGACCCCCGGAGCCGCCAGGTGCTGGGCAGGACGGGCACCAGCTGGGGTAGGTCCTGGGGGGGGGCGGGGGAGGGGATTTGGGGGG